GGTATCGAGTACCGTGCTCTAAAACTCCTCGCCATGATTCTCATTATCTTCTACCTTGGCTGGCACACCATTGGTGTTATTTGTTTGGCACCCTGGATCAATCATGATGCTCATTACAGCAACGTGGTGAGAGAAGTTGGCGTGGATCCGACCTGGTGGGGTTTCTTCACTTCAGCTTCCTTGTTTAATGACCTAGGTTTCACACTCACTCCAGACTCGATGGTCTCTTTCCAGCTAGCTATATGGCCTCTTGTACTGGGTACCTTCCTTATTATCATCGGCAATACTGGTTTTCCCTGTATGCTTCGCTTCACCATCTGGATGTACTCCAAGATGGTACCCAAGAGCAGCGCCATTTGGGAAGAGCTTCGCTTTTTGCTAGATCACCCACGTCGATGCTTCACTTTACTTTTCCCAAGCAAGGCAAACTGGTGGCTGTTCTGGATCCTTGTTATTCTCAACGGTGTAGATCTGATCTTCTTCATCATCCTCGACGTAAGTACGATGTTATTCAGGCCAAATTACTTCTGACTAACGCTCTGCAGCTCAACGATCCGACTGTCACTTCCCTGTCGGGTGGTCATCGCTTTCTTGCCGGTCTTTTCCAAGCTGCCTCAACTCGTACTGCAGGTTTCGCTGTAGTCAACATTGCTGATCTGCACCCTGCAGTACAAGTCAGCTACCTCATCATGATGTACATATCTATTTTCCCTATCGCTATGTCCATCCGCCAATCCAACGTGTACGAGGAGAAGTCCCTGGGTGTTTGGGCCGCAGAAGACGAAGACGAAGAGCAATCGAGCTACCTCTCGCACCATTTGCGCCGCCAACTCTCATTCGACTTGTGGTTCGTCTTCTTGGGGTTCTTTCTCATCGCCATCATTGAAGGCCCGCGGCTCGAGAACACAAACGAGTACGCGTTCAGTCTCTTCTCCGTCCTGTTCGAAATCGTCTCAGCATATGGTACTGTAGGATTGAGTCAAGGCTTCCCTGGTTACAACACCTCCTTCTCAGGCCAGTTCAAGACACTGAGCAAACTCATCATCATTGCCATGCAGATCCGTGGTCGCCACCGTGGACTCCCGTACGCACTGGATCGTGCTATCTTGCTTCCGTCGGAAACTTTACACCAGAAAGAGAACGAAGATGCAACGAGACGCGCACGACGTAGCAGTAATGCTATGGATATGGGAATCAGTATGAGTATGGATGGTATTACCCGAACAGGTACCGGACTCAGTCGCAAGAGTACCGCAAGTGGCGAGAGACCCCCACAAAGTAAACCCAAACAGCTGAAACGCATTATCAGTGGTGCTTTTAGTGCAGGCCCAACGGGCCAATATAGAGAGAAGAGGGCATGATATGTTCTCCCTTTGTGCGACATTCTGAGCATTCGAGGCGTTTTAGAGTAAGGCGCAGAATGGTGTTCATCGGTTTTATATATATTTTTGTTTGTGCTTTTAGGCGCTTCGACGAGCTTTAGATCTGATAGCGTTTACGCGTGCGATGCCTTTCCACACGATGTTATTATCGTTGCTAGTACATATTGCTAAGATGAAGTATACTTATGTTACATATTTCTGTTGTCGATTGATACTATGATATGACGTAGAAGCTGATCCGTTCAGCTCCATGTCCAACCCTCAAATATCTAGTCTCTAATCGCACCTTTTACCCAAATTTTGCTGTGCATCATATGCTTCTTGGTACAAGATGGTTGAGGAGTATCGTTCTTATTTGGAGTAGAAGGTTCGGGTTCTCACGTCAAGGTCACTGTAGAGTCTTGCACCTGAGCAATCTCGTAGACGTCAACAGACTTGAAAGTCAACAGAGATCGTAAAGATGTGGCATCAATGTTGCTGCACGGTGGTCTCATGTTCCCTGGAGTGGTACCAAAAAAACAAGAGTAGAAGTATTATGCTGGGTTGGGACCTGGGCCAAGCCTCTAGTGAAGGACGCAGCAAAAGTAAAGTAGTAGCTGAGAGGGCCTGAAGGCGGGCATGTTGTTCTCTATGCTCAGTAAATTGGGAGATTTGCCAACGGTCATAGGCTCAATGTTTTTCGATTGACTTGAAGAATTTGAAGAGAACACGGGTGTATCATATGTATATATCGAGATTCAGTCCAGATCAGTCTGCTGCGATCACTAGCTCGGGGCTTGCATTCGGATCAATCATGACCTGATATCACGTTCAAATAGTCTTCAGGTTGCGTGACATGTGCTTAATTTCAATTCGCCTTGAAAACTACACAAGAGCGCTTTCCAATCATTATTCCAAGATTTTTCTCGAGGTTTGCTCAGTAAGTGCCTGAGATAACTCAGCGAGCCCTGGTTTTCCTTCCAATGCCGCCTTGATCTAGACTCAATGATGCATTTCTGGCCCCACAAGGTAACGAGCTACTTGAAGGTGCTGAAAGAAGAGCTCAACAGGTCAAAGTAAGATGTTGTTGCACGTCTTACTTTGGGCTCTTGTCATAGACTACATGTGATGCTCATAAGCTAAACGTAGTGGTCGTGTGTTATCAAAAGCTTTATTCCGTCATATCACCAGTAGAGTTACGAATGAAAGCTTCCAGAGCTTGTTAGACCGTGGAGTGACTCGTCAGAGCATGCGTCGGTGCGTACACAATCTTAGAAAGTTCTGTGAAGTCCCATAAGCTTGCGCATTATCCAGGCGGATTGCTCGGAAAGTCAGGAAATTGGGACCTGAAATGAGCAAAAGATGCAATACAATAGTTCAGCTAAGTGTGCCCAGGTGTTGGGAGCCCTGGAGTATCGCTGAGAGACTTCCAATGACAACTGGTTGCGGTAAGCAGCCGCTCTGCGCTAAAATGGACAGATACTAGTGCCATACGTCACCTTCGAATGCAAACTTTCCCCAACCACCCATTGTTTCACATTAGCCCTGAATCAGCGGGAATCAAACATTCTTCAGAATTACAACGAGATTTGAACAACCCTTCCATGCACATGGTCGCTACGAGGTCGCTTTCCGCGCGTCAACGCGTGAATAAATGTCTACAATAGAGGATCGCCTATCTTAGCCCCAAAGCCTCCCTCCTCCCTTGACTTCCCAGATCTAGATACGGTGCCTCGCCCAGGCTAGCCACTCGATCGCCTGCCCTGGCTTCATCATAGTCATATGTCGCACAATGCCACGTACTACGGTTATCCCAAATAGCCAAGTCATTCGGCCGCCACTTAAACCGCACCTGCGCATCGTGGTTCTGCGTTACAAGGTTGAACAGATACGGCAGAATGAGGTCGGATTCGTCCTTCGTGACGCCATTGATACGTTTGGTAAATCCTTTGTTCACGTATACTGATTTCCAACCCGTCACAGCTGTGGCGCAGATTAGCATTTGCAACGCAGGAAAAGAATCAGCAAGCTTACGATTTGTTCTTATGACTGGGTGTGTGGCTGTGAGTGCGTCCCCCTGGTTTAATGGATTACCACGGACACCCTTCCTCAATGGATTTCCTAGCCGCTCTGCTTCTTCTAGAAAAAACTTCGCGTCGTGCGTCGCAGTCAGACCCTCCAGGAATGACCGCATGGCGGGAGAGAGGCGGTCGTAAATTTCGTAGCCGGACGCCCACAGCGTGTCACCACCTGTTGCTGGTAGGGTATGAATTTTCAACATCGCATAGTCTGACGGTACTGGTTCAAAAGTAATGTCACTATGCCAGCCTGCAGATGCGAAACGACTGACATCCGAGAGTTGGTGAGTGAGACCACCACCTTTCTTCTGCTTTTCGCTGCTTATGACAGAGATCTGATCTCCCAGTTCGGAGCCTTCTTCGGTAAGGGGGTGCACATGGAGTCCAGATGATGAGGGCTAACAATCTGTCAGCGTTGTGAAAATGAGTTCATGTTGGTAATCGAGTAGACATACACAACCTGATAGCTCAGTTATGCGCAACATCAGGTCTTTCATCTGAGTTGGTGTGACATCTTGGTTCCTCAGAAATACGACGCCGCGTTGTGATACTTGAAGTTTTATCAGCCACCGACTTCGTCAAGTTAGAGATGGAAACCGTACCCGTGATAGCCAGATCTTTGATCATAGCATCACCCCATCGAAGCAGATCGGTCACCTGGAGACCTTCGAATTCTCTTCCGATGACTGGGGTTAAGTCTTGGTGTTGGAAGCTATCCAGCGACCCGGAATAAATCAAGGGCTCCAGAAGCCTCGACCTGGCACTGGCGTGTCCGCCAATGATGTTGGCGTCCCCGTCTTCATGGACATCTTCGATACGATTGCGCTTGATTGAAGGCATCTTAGGAGCGATGTGGCTTAAAAGTAGTTTTGGCTTTCGACTTAGCCTTAGAGTTGCAAAGCACTTCGACAGCCTGAAGGCTAACAATCTTACATACCTGGAAATCCCGAACGTCTAATATCTACCAGAGACCAGGGTGGCACATCTTCGGCATGTGTGGTAAAGCACGTCATCGGACTAGCTGTATGTTCCGGGATTAGGCACGCCGAGCCTAGCCTACACCATTCCGTGAACGCTAAGCCGGGGGTCAAGAGGGGAAAACCAATAGCAGATGCATTAGTATGCACAACACCGCGCTTTCCCCTCCTTCGTCGGCGCATTTACTGCCTCGGTAGGATGGCGACGATGGCGACGAGATGAGCCGCAATTGCGACATGCAATCTCCAAGATGATATATAGAGGAGTAAAAGCATGTCAGGGGAGATGTAGCGTGCCGATCATTATATCTTTATAACAGCCTCCATTCGTAGGACTCGTGTTGAAGCCGACGACTGCAGCTCTTCAACATGGGCAACGACATCGAAGCAGCCCCGCATACGACACGGATCAGCGAAGATGCCAACTCGCTGAAATCATCGGCCCATGTGGGTAGAGAGGAGCTTGCAGACATCGTTCCCCCACACGACAGCTACGAAGGCCGGCATCGCTTCGACCCCCATGCGAGCTGGAGCGTTGAGGAAGAACGTCGTGTTGTACGGAAGACAGATCTACGACTGCTCACATGGCTCTGCCTGATGATGTTCGGGCTGCAGGAAAGTTGATACAAGCTACTTGACGATTACGAATACTGACTGTTGCAGCTCGATCGCGGAAATCTATCAAATGCGCTTGCGGATAATCTTCTGAACGATCTTGGTCTGACTTCTGATGATTACAACAATGGCACGACCATACAACTGGTTTGCTTCCTTGCTGCCGAGTTTCCGGTCCAGTTGTGAGTGATATCAAAATCATTTTGCAGTCACTGTCTGACCACGCTCCTGTCTAGTCTCACCAAGCGATATGGTTTCAAGTACATCCTTCCAACTATGATGTTAGCCTGGGGAACTGCATCTTGGGGTCAGGCATGGATGCACGACCGGACTTCATTCTATCTGGGTCGCGCAGCCATCGGACTCTGTGAGGGTGGTTTCATCCCTGGTGTTATCTTGTTTGCGACCTACTTCTACAAGTCCAAGGAGCTTTCCATACGTCTTGCAGCCTTCTGGTCGACACTCAACATCGCTCGTGTTATTTCCGCATTGCTCGCAGCTGGGATTCTGGAAATGCGCGGTGTCGGTGGGAAGCCCGGCTGGTTTTGGCTCTTCCTCCTTGAAGGTCTCTTAACGGTTGTCATTGCCACATTATCGTTTTTGTACCTACCCGCAGCGCCGACATCAACCACGAACGTACTTTGGCGTAAGGGCTGGTACACCGAGCGGGAAGAGATTAGTAAGTTTTCAGCTACGAAATGTATATATGAGACATTCACTGACTTCGTACGCTCGAATTCAGTCATGGTGAACCGCATCCTTCGAGACGATCCAGCAAAAGGCCTTACGGCTCTCAAAGAGCCTGCCACGTTTAAGGACATCCGCGCGGCCTGGTCTGACTCCTCTATGTGGGGCTTATACTTCATCGGCCTCGTTGCTTACATTCCTGCCTCCCCGGTGCAAGGCTACCTTACGCTTACACTAAAACGTCTCGGCTTCAGCACATTTGACAGTAACATGTTGACTATCCCGTCCGCTGCGCTTCAAGTCATTACCATGCTAGCCCTAGCATATTCGAGCGATTACTTTAACGAACGCACGTTCCATTGCATTTTTGGCGAGTTCTGGATCATGCCGCTCCTTATCGCCCTTCTGACGCTACCCGACGGAGGCCGCGAATGGGGCCGCTTCTCTCTAATTACGTTGATCTCCGGTTACCCATATTTCCATCCTTTGGTCTCGTCCTGGATCTCGGAAAATACATTCGACGTCAAGAAGCGTGCGATTACGGCCGCAACGTACAACGTTATTGTGCAAATTGGATCTTTGATCAGTTCACAAATCTACCGTAAATACGATGGTCCGTACTACAAACAAGGCAACTCAGTGCTAGTGGCGATCTGCGCATTGAGTGTTATCACCTTCCTCGTTCAGCGATGGGCCCTGGTACGACTGAACAAGAAGAAGCAAGAGAAGTGGGAGCAAATGACTTCGGAAGAGAAGGCTGTCTACCAAGCAGACATTGCCGCGCGTGAGAAGGACGGCAACAAGCGGCTGGACTTCAGGTTCACGCTTTAGTCTGGTCTCGGAAAGATAGCCGATGTCATTACGCAGTTAGTCAAGATCAATGTGCATGGTAACATACTGGACGGGCTGTGGTTGCAACATCACATGCTTTCGCCAATCGCTCCACCCACCGAAATTTCAGCCGCACCGAACTATTGGCAATCCGTAACTGAGATTATTCCGAGGTCTAATCGCAACTCTCGACGCGAGTGTTCTGACATTCAATGGACGTTACTCTTACGTGAAAGCCTTTGGTGAGTGTCCTCTGAGTGCTTGCACATCTTGTTACTGTTTGTATTTGTTTCTTGTACGTTTTTTTTTAAGTTTACTAGACCGCAAGTTAGCCAGAGGATGAGTATGCGTCCTCGCGTCGGCTGCAGAGACCCGTCTTGTTCAATGAAGACGTCTCTAGTCGGACCCACTTTCTCTCCAATGCCCCACTATTACCCAGAGCTGCCCTATGTCGTGATTGCGGGGATCAATGACGACCTCGGGACTCTCCACGTTCTCGCGAGTCATTCCGGAACCGCGAATACCAAGGCCTCAACAGCACATAATCAACGCGACTGCCTAAAAGAGGATTTTTCGTCCGATGTGGGAGAACACATCGCCGGCATCGCTCTGCATGGAGAAATTGCTGCTTTGGGTGTAGCCGACAGAATTTTGGAGAGCCTTAGCAGAGCGTGTGACTGCAATGGTGGCTCTGTTTGAGACGCACACTTACTTCGGTATACAACGAAATCGAGCTTTTGAGACATTTCACGAGATTATCCAAATACACGCAAAATGGCTTGGGAGGAACCTCGTAAAACTGGCATGCAATACCGCCGCCTGGGTAACTCAGGTTTGCATGTATCTGCACTCGGTTTGGGCGGTTGGCTCACGTATGTTCAAATCTCCGTTCATCTCCATGCATATACTGATCAAACACAATGCAGCTTCGGTGGCCATGTCGAGAATGGTGATTTTTGTCTTCATGCTTATCAGCCACGCAACTAATCATAACCATAGAACTCACATTTTCCATCATGAAGACAGCATATGACAACGGTATCACGTTTTTTGATACTGCCGAGTCTTACGCTGGTGGCCAGTCCGAGATCATTATGGGCCAGGCTATCAAGAAGTTCGCATGGAATCGCAACGACATCGTGATATCCACAAAACTCAACTGGGGCGGCGCAAATGGCGAGGTGCTTGTCAACAACCATGGTCTCTCACGCAAACACATCATCGAAGGACTCCGTGCATCGCTTAAGCGCATGGATTTGGAGTACGTCGATATAGTGTATGCGCATCGTCCTGATCGTCTTACGCCCATGGAAGAAACGGTCCGCGCATTCAACCATGTCATTGAGCAAAAAGGGTGGGCGCTGTACTGGGGCACGTCTGAATGGTCCGCAGATGAGATCGCCGAGGCATGCGGAATAGCGAAGCAGTTGGGTCTCATTGCACCGATAGTGGAGCAACCGCAGTATAATTTGCTCGAAAGGAAGAAGGTTGAGGGCGAATTCCAGCGCCTTTATGCACGATTTGGACTTGGCTTAACTACATTCTCGCCATTGAAGTTTGGGCTGCTGAGTGGGAAGTACAACGATAGTCCAGATGCACCGCCAGCAGGTTCAAGATTCGCCGAAGGAAAAGATGGCTTCGTGAGTGGAATGCGTGACCGATATGGAAACGATGAGTGGAGTGGCATGATCAACAGCGCAAGAAACTTGAAGGTAGGTCAAATGCTTATAAATTCTGGATGCTGTTTCGCTAACGCAGAAACAGCCAATTGCGGATAAGCTGGGCATCAATCAATCGCAGCTGGCGCTTGCGTGGTGCTTGAAGAACCCGCATGTCTCTGCAGTGATTACTGGGGCTTCGAGACCGGAGCAGGTGGTGGACAACTGTGCAGCTCTGAAAGTTTTGGACAAGCTTACGCCAGACGTCATGACGGAGATTGATGGTATTGTAGGAGGCATCCAGCTGGACCCTGCACGACAGGATTAGCTTGGTTATACTTACTCTTGATCAACAAAGACTCAGTTCACCATCTAAATGTCAGTGCACCCGTCTGACTGCATCTGTATTGTCCTGGAAACACCTGAAATGCTTTCATGGCTACATGCTGTACAAAATCTAATTCAAAGACGCATAAAGCGCTAAGGCTTCTTGCCCTGGTCTTTCTTGGCTTCGTTCACTTGGGGCAATATCTCATGAACCTTCATGTCTAGCCCGACCCAGAATTTCCGACCTCGCCATTCTACAGTAACGCCGCCCCAGAACGCAATGACCCATACAGGTAATGCAAAGAACTCGCGACCAAGCCAAGCATAGAGAAAGTCCATGAAGTTTCTTCTTGCACCATCAAGTAGACTTGGCTCACTTGGAGTCTTATTGCCAAGGAGAGGTTCAAGAACTTCGGTGCGGTGGTATGCAGAGGCTGATCGCTGGGGCAAGATAAAATCAGGAGTGTCGGCATCGATTTCGACAGTCTTGGCGCAGTGAAGCAACAGATATTGAACGTAGTCCACTAGACACCAAGCAGACAGATGTAGGAGCCAGATGAGGAAGAAGGAGGTCCAAGTCGGGCTGATGCCGATGTTGTGGAACACGGGTAGCGTCGTTAGAGCGTATGCGCCATACAGCCCACACAGAAGACTCTCCGTTCCTGGCTCCACAAACGTTGCTAACGTAACCGTGAACTTCCGTACTCGTAGCCATCGAATACGACGCTGTAAGTAGGCCATCACAGACGTATGGCTGATTGGCTGGTAGCAGAAGTCACCAAAGAGCATAGCGTGCTTGCCCCAGGTCTCCTTCTTGGTCCCTGGTTCTGGTTGGTAACCTCGTTTCTCGAAAGCTTGGGGTTCTTTCCACAGCACATCGCCAATGAGGTGATCTTCGCAGATATTGTCGGAGAAGAAATCGATACCGGGAGTGCGTTCTGGGTTCGATGAGGTAACATAGTTGAGTTGGGAGCGACGGAACATAGTACTCTTGCCCATAATACAGGGTGCTACAGCGACGGTGTTGATGGCTTGGTAGAATTTGGCGTGGGCAGAAGACATGAAAGCTTCGTCCAGACGTCCGCCACCACGCTGCAGCAGCTTCCTGATAGTACTTCCCGAGTGGTTGCGAGGATCCGAAGATGTGCTTGCCGCGATATTGGTCAACTGTGCTGCAGCTTCTGGTTTTCCTCCGAGCAACTCCTTCCTGTCCTGTAGCGATAGACCTTGCGAATCGAGGTCTACCGTGAGAGGTGTCTGGTGCACGAACTTGTACTTTCTCTTGCTGTTGCCATGTTTGTCCTGTCCAAAGCCACATAGTAGGTCCACTAGTCGACCGCAAACGCCCTTGCCGACCCAGACGTTACAGTCAAGCACCCACACGATGTCACCCTCGGCCTCCCTATAGGCACGACTCATGTTTCTGATCTTCGGATTGGGTCCCAGCGCGTTATTATCCTTCAGTAGCAGCGGATCCTCTTCTTCGACCAAGATTTGCACATGGGCGTCCGGGAAGTCATTACATAGGCGTTCGAGAATCGGAAAGGCGGGATCGGATCGCTCAGGAACGCAGAACACGGTGTTCAGTTTGTCTTTGGGGTACGTCTGGCGGAGGGTGGCTGCGAGGCATTCGTACAATCGTGGGTCGAGGCCTTTGACTGGCCGTATAACGGTGACTCGAGGGACTTCATCGTCTTTCAATGTCGTAACGCACGTTGCCTGCTGAGGTCTCCTCCAGTAATAGCGGAAAAGCTGAACGAAGCCAATAGCACAAACATTCCAGACTACCACCCACCAAATCAGGCAGCCGGTCGCAATGATGGTACGCAACATGGAGACATCTTCTCCTGTCGCAAGGTCGGGCGCGCCAAGCATGCGCAAAAGTGTCGTAGGGTCAGAGTGAGGGTGGGATGTTGACGAATCTCACGGCACGGAGGTTGCGGAGTTTCGAACCAGAAAGTGACGACCTGCCAAGACAAACACCACGCGACAGCCCCTTTTGGAACCACGTCTCAGGACAAGTTCTACGACAGATAGAGATCAAGAAGCAGGCTTACTGTTGTGTTGGATTCCAGTATCTGTTGGTCATGCGATTGTTTGCACTGCCGAGCGGTCCGGCTTCTCCGCCAGGGACATTGCTTGTAGCGATCAAGCACCTAGGTGTCTCCACACCGACAGTAATACACGCTCGCTAGTGACTTCACGTCCGACAGCACTCTAGCGTCTAAACTGTTCATATTGGTAAACCTGTGCTGCAGAAAGTAAACAAGGTGAGAGGGTGGTATCAATACGTCCGTGTACATTTTCGTCAAGATCCAGATGTGAGCTAGCAAAAGTAGCTCGCCCAGCAACCTCGCCCGCCAAACCTAAAGTAAATCTATCCAAAACTCCTCATATTCTCCGAACCCTGAATGTTGTAGCAAGTCCCAATACTAAAGGTCTCATTGACTCTATGGTTTCAAACTTTCGGTTTCTTACGCACCAGTCCGGCTGTCAAGGTATTCACTCCATTTGCAGCACTTGCATCAGTAATGGGTGTTGGCTCAGTTTTTGCCTTCTTCCTGACGGTGCCTTCTCCTGGAATTTGTGCGGGTTCAGCTAACTTTTCTGTCTCGGTTGCCGCCTCTGATGGGATATCGGGCTTCCTCTTCTTTCGTACACCCATGACCATTGTCGGTGTCACGCTGTTTGTTGCATCCGCAGGCTTCACTGCAGCTACATATTCCTTAGTTCCTATCACTGTAAAGGCCCATTCGTCCATGCCGCCAAGAACAGCGATTTCTTCTTTCCACTTCCTCGTACTCCGTGCTGCTGCCTTTCGGTTCGCAAACGTTTGCTGTAAGAGGACTTCATGTGCACGATCATAGTTCTTGAGCGAGAAACAGATGGTCCCACGTGAGGAAGCGGGCCACCTCCAGTATGGACTGTTCTCAGGAAGAGTTTTGGCAGAGCGCGAAGACATGTTTGGCGTGGTCGGTAGATTCCGATAGATAGTCTTGATCTTCGGCAGAACTAGTGGTATTGGTCCATACCTGGTTTTGGCCTCTTGTCTCCGTCGACTTGTTTTCCGCCGTTTTGGACTGGACATATTCTCTTGTGAATTGGTTTGCGAGAAGGACTGTGACGCTGACAGCTGTGACGGCATGTCCTCGTCTTCTTCGGGTATCGAAGGCTTGGGTGGTGTTATGACGACCCATATGAAACCTACTATCCTTCCTGATGAGCACTCTTGCCTGAAAGCCATGAACTCCCAGAACTGGTCGAGCGTCTTGACACTCTTCCATTGCCCATTACTTCTTGACGGTGTGCCTCCATCTGCTACCATATTATCCGTGCCACGGTCGGGAAGTTCCTCGTCTAACTCATCAAGAAATCTAGCCTTAGGATCATCTGGAAAGTGTGGTACCAGGCACCGTGGTGGTGCAGCAGGATATGGAGCGATCTGTAGGAGTGGGTGTGTAGTGGCCCAGCGTCGAGGGGTGTTGGGGACGGAGGGCGGAGGAATGTATCGCAGTGTATCGTATGATTCGAAACCCGGTATCACTAGATATCCCTTTGCTGTGGACTCGGATTGTGTTGGTGTGCCGTTGGTCTTGGTGCCTTCACCCTCCATTAGCCGTTCAGCGAAGGGTTTCCCTTCTCCTTCAGCTTTGTACTCCCATATGATTGGATCGAGCACTCTGCACCACCATTTTACCAAGCCCCTATCGTCCAGAACATGCTTGTTCTTGTTCTCGATGCTTGCTGGGAACAGGTATTGATCCTGTGCCCTGGCGAACAAAGACACAACAAGCTTCTTCCCTTCCCTTTGTCTTTCTCTTGCGAGCCAAGATACAAACGTGCCGCAAATAGCTTTCAAGGGCGATGCAGATTGGGCTCGCGGTAATTGCAGCTCAGATATATAACCCGTCGAGTCGGCTTTGGAGACGAAGATGGTGGTGAGGTTCCTGGTGGTGTAGATTAAGACTTCGATGGCAAGTATCAGAAGCTCCTCGGGTAGTTCTGAGGCTGCGGCGTCTTTTGGCACTATCGATGCTGCCAACGTGTGCGACTCGCAATATGTGCGTTCGGACTTGCCATGGGGCGGCGCGGAGAAGAGAGCAGAGGACTTGGACGGCGGAGTTGAGTAGTGATAGAAGGTGATGGGCACGTTTTTGGGTAGTTGTTCGGCCAGTAACTCTCTCAGCGGCTTCGAGACACCAGGACTCGCCATGACGACTCAAACGGAGCGCAGCAAGGGGGAGAAGTCGCGTATCGGGGGCGCAAGATGGGGAGCGGTAGGCGCGACTGGGGCTAGCGTGGTTGTGGTAAGGCGCGATCCGCGTGCCGCAACTTTTCGATGATCCGAACTTCACCTCCGCCAGCAGCATCGTCTCCGCCCCCCGCCAATCACGCCTCTTGCACCTCACCCAGCCCTTGGAAGTATCGCAATGGCTTCCAAACGACCGCTCCGATCACTCGTCTCGACCGCTTCATCATCACTCCGCCCCTCGCAAACATCAAAAACATGCATCGTGCGGACCTCCGCATGCGCATTTTCGAGCACCACCCCATCGAGAGCCACCGAATATGATACAGAAGCTGCGGGCCGGCCGCGATGGCAGCAAACACCCCCGCGGATGGTAGCACCCTACAGGATACGACCGGCAGCCAAAGGGGGCATTCACAAAGTCAACGATGACCCGAAAAAGTTAGACGATGCGTACATACGCATGCTGGGCCCTGGAGGAGACAAGATGCTGGGGGACGACGTCAAATGGTTAGCCGTTACACACAAGAGCTTCGACCACGGAAAGAGAGGATTCAATGACCGACTGGCATACTTGGGTATGTGTGCATATTCCTGAGGCGGGCAGGCGGGAGGCTAATAAAATGGGCAGGACGGAGGATTGTCGAACTACAAACATCACAAGCACTCATAAACTCGCCACAAGAACACCAATGGCCGAGGGATTCCAACGGTGTACCAGTCAACGACGAGTACGGCCGTAAACCATACCTACACCCTGCCTTGAACGGGCTGCAGGGCTTGACCGGCGAAGCAGAGAGTCTGGTGCTGAGCAAGTCACGGCTAGCACCGATAGCAGAGCGATACCGCTTGGATAAGGTCACTCGGTGGACACCCAAGAGGGTATGCTTGAATACAAACGGCACTCTGGTTTGCAGGCTAACCATTTTCAGGCGGACAACCTTCAAGGTTCTGGTTTCGAGACTGTCCTCATGACTTCCCTATATGCCATTGTGGGAGCCGTAGCTCTGGAGCGTGGCGGCGAAGTAGCCAACAAGGTCGTGCAAGAAAAGATACTTGCACCACTTGGCTTCAGCTTTTCTCCCGATTCATGACTTGAATGCAATTCGATCTTGTACAAAACCACTGTCAGACTTTGTACTATATTGTAAACAAGCACTCGATATGGCGTACGTCGCGATTTACAATCGAATTACGTCTTCGTCATCTCCTGACGTTCCCCTGATCATGCTTCGTCTATCACTTAACACTATGCCCGCTCTTTTGAATGTGTTCCCGAAGGTAAGGCGACGGGATGTAGCAAGGCTGAACTCCAGGTAGGAAACTCAAGCTGACTGGATCGTAACGAGAACCGATTGCTTGTAATTTGAGAAGGATAAGTGGATATCACGAGTACAAATTCGGTTTTGTTCTGATTGGTCAGCTGTATCGTTGCTTACATTCAATGCGCCTACCGAGGTGGCGGTACGCTGGAACCGCAACCTTTCAACTCCATCTTCATACACTGATAACAACATGACATTTGTTGTTGTCCCGAAGCTCAATTCTAGCTCTCCTTCGAAACGGTATGCGTCTTCAACTCGCTCGGTCACTTGTCTCCAGTAACTGATTTAAAACTCCAGTCTTCCGCAGCCTCGTCCATGACCAACGAAACATGTCCAGCCTAGATGAACTACATCCATTGTGCTGTCGTTTAGCCGGGACAGCCGAACGAACACACTTTAAGCACAAACCACTGGATCTCAGTGCCCCTTCGATACGTCTTCTCCAAGTTTCTTCCCAGCTTTCCAAGGATGGTGCGGTCCAGTGCCGAATTGCCCACTTCGGGACTTCACGTTCAGAATCAGGAAAACGACTAGATGAAGCTTTCGACATGTGTACCCCGGTACCATCATACACCTGTCTCTCGTACACCTGGGGTGAGCCAAACCCTTTATACTTGGTCGAAGTCGATGGGAGCCCGTTCCACGTACGGCAAGGTCTATGGGAGTTTCTTTGTACTGTACGGACATCTAGATCGCTGAGACGCAGAAATTTCTGGATCGATGCAATGTGTATCGACCAAGAGAACAAGGCTGAGCGCAACCATCAGGTGCAACAAATGGGGAGGATATATTCGAAAGCCGATATGGTCCTTTGCTGGCTCGGATGCGATGAAGAGATTGAGAGTGTGCTGAAAGATATAAGGACAAGGCCAGCTTACATCGATGCCATGTCCAGAAGCTGGAAAGCAAGCAACACATTGCCGCGTGTTGCCCAGGTACATCTTCCCATCGAACCCGGTGTCAGTGCCGAAACTCTTGTTCGTTTCTGCTGCAGTGAGTACTGGTCTCGAGCCTGGATAACACAAGAGATCGCTCTAGCTCAATCCGCCGCCATTGTCGCAAGATCAGAGGCTGTGGATCTCAATCTTGTGCTTGAGACGGTAACTTCAACCAACTCTCCCTTCCATTACATCGCCAACTACATCGGAGGGCGGATGGAAGAGACTTCGCAAACTTGGAAATCGGACCTCCTGAGTCTCCTTTATCATTTTCGAAGAACGCGCTGTGATATCCCACGGGATCGCATATACTCCTTACTAGCGTTGTGTTCGCAAGGCAATAGAATTCAAGTCAACTACGAGGTTTCGGATGAGGAAGTTATGCGGCACATACTAGATGTATACTCTGACTCGCTGTGCTTATGCTCCGCTGCCATCATTGCAGACGTACTATGGCGGACGTTGTGGCCCCGGGGTCGTGTCAGAATACAGCCAGTGGAGGAGGCGACGCCATATATCGAGTTCCCAGTTAAGACTTCTGATCTGGATAAGCACCACAGATGTCACGATTTCTGTGAAACTACATTTCCAGAAGTTTGGCGCAGAAAAAGAGGTGTTATTGTTTGTATGCGTAGGACCTGCCCCGACATACCCGTTCATTTACTTGTCTCGGAATGTCATTACGGAAAAGTTCTTCGATGTATCAATGGTCAGTCATGCAGCCAAAATCACGTGGACTGTCGTCTTTACGATACCTTCGGGGTTGAGCTAGAGAACTTCCGAGAATCAGGGGATGCGACATTGCGGATGTCTTTTAGCGCACTTCTCGGCATTGTCATGAACAGCATTTCAAGTCATGATGATACAAGGCGCTGCGGTAATTTACATGGAAACACAAAATACAAAAAGGGCAGACCCAGGCTTTGCCACACTGTGAGACACTGAACACAATAAAAGTTTAGAGTTGCATAACAGCTATCTGCCATGCCTGACAAGTTCTACTGATGTGTCGGTCTACAGTAATTAAAAGCCACTTCATTTATATGAACAGTAGAAAGCCCAGAAAATTGAAACGCTCCGGTGTGAACCACCACAATCCACAATGATCTAAAGCTGTCCCATTGGGCAGATGTGGGCGAACTATAGTGCTGCATAGACTGCACTACAGGCGGCAGGCAATGAAGTTTGCCTCGTTAGGCGGGTGCGGGAGAGTACGTCAATAGCCGAAAGGTAAGCTGTAAGGCAGGCGAAGCGTACTGCAATTGACACCTTGTCCATTAGTTGCCTGATCGAACATTGACTAGCACTGCACCTCATACCCTTAAATGGCTTGCATGATTTAAGAGAAGTAACTGAGTAGACATTGGATGAAAAGCAATTATGTTGTGATGTAGTACAGCTCGAGCGAACAGCACTAAGATCAATATATATACATACATAAGCATATACTAGCTGATGTTAAAGTGCGAAGGGTAAGAACACCGAGCAATAATTGGGGGAGAAGTGTGGTGGCAACAATCCCGGCCCGAATCGCTGGCCTGAGCAAAGTTTGGTGCAATCGATGGTATTTGATACTGCCTATTTAAGACGTCAACTTATCACCAAACCTCATTTATTCCGACAAACTTCGCATGGATGTGAATGATATAGATAGTATGGGTGTTGCAAGATGATAAACGATTTAAATAAGCAGCATAACGCCAGCTCTGGGTATAGCGAATGATAAATAAGATTCGAAGAGACAAACTCAAGCAAACCGCCTCAGAAAGTCAATCCAGGTTTGTTCTTTCTCCAGAACATGGCCTTCGCCGCGTTCACACTCCGTGGCGGTGGATCAAACTTCGGCTGTGCCTCTTCGATGTCCATCTGCTCCATCTTTCTTTGAGAGTTTCGCTTCAATTCTCTCTTCAAGTTCCGCTCATCCTTCTTACGCATCCATGTTATCCAGATACAGTAGCTTGCACAAATTATGCCAATGCCGCCTACAACACCACCAATGACAGCGCCAATGAGGCCTTGGCTTTGCCATGCGGACTGTTTGGGGCGTTGGTAGGCTACAGGGGTTGATTTTGGGCAGAAGGTTACTGGCATGACCATGTTGTTCTTTTGAATAGCTTCAGCAAGGAAGAAGTTGTTGGCCTCGTAGTCCGCCATCAGGTAGACCTGGCCTAGGAAAGCGGTGCCGAGATAGAATGGCGTTTCTGCCGACTCCTCGCGATCTTGTATAGGTGTGATGTTGGAAGCGTTCATGAGGACTTCTGGTGGGAGAGTGACAGTAAAACCATCTTCGAGTATAATCGAGAGTGAGCCGTTGAAAGCGTTCTTCAATCTCAATGAGTTGTCACCCCACTTATTATCCTGCTCAGCACCTAGTTGCTTGATGAAGTTCTGGGTAATCTGGTAGGGTAGAGAAAATGGAAACTGTTCAGTCGTGATCTGGGCCTCGAAGTCCTCTGCCCGCGTCTTCATGTCAGTGAAGACTGTGTTGTCGAAGAGCGATACGTTTGCGTTGTCTTCCGTGTTGGTGATGACAATGTCTTTGATGCGAACGCTCATCGGGTTCGGGTTGTTGATGTTCATTGAGTATTTGTGCGGTTCTCCCGTGAAACGACCAGAGTCGTATCCACCAAAGACGTTGCTGCCGTTGACTGCACCTCCAGCTCGTTCAAAACCCTGTCCGATATAGAGTGAGTATGTTTTACCGGCAATGACGTCCTGCGCAACGAGATCCCGTAGTACTGTTGAAGACGATCCCACACCAACTCTTCCAGGCGTGATTGACCCTGATTCTGCGACTTCGATGGTGGTGTTCTGTAGTAACGTCTGAGACGCGCCATCCGTCTCGAAGTAATGTGTATATAGTCGTAGGGTCTCTCGACCGAAGAATCCCGTGAATTCTTTCTGGTCATCGTCTAAGGTTTGGAAGCTGTCGTCTTCCTCGAAACTACTCTACATGTCAGCTCATAAGGTCAACTTTCATATCTCTAAACATGCATACCTATCCGAATCTCGATCGTTGAAGAAACCCCCTGTATGTGTATCGCAATCCTTGAGTGTTGTGTTTGTATCTTTGCAGTAGTTGTTTGACGCAAACGAGACATGGTTTTGTTGTAGTGACGGCCAAAGACTCTGGTTTTGTGCTGGCGTTCCTAGTCCGATGAAGGATCCATATTGGAAGACTGATGAATCGTGTACGGCTCGCTTGTGGATATCGACATATATCGGTTTCTTAGTGCAGTTTGAAGCGACTGTGGACTGAACGAACAGCACAGTTGCGGAAAGGTAAAGAACGAAAGACGCCATGACGAAAGACGCTTGAATCCAGCAAGCTGAAGGTCAAGTAGCAAGGTACTGAATATTGCTTACAACACCGACAGGCGAGTATGAACGACGGCAATGACGAAACGTCTCAAACTGGAGTTGCGGAGAATCCAGCGGCGGTACGATATCTTTGTAGGCCTCCACCATCTGTATACCGATACACTAAGATGAGCATGCAGATGTTCAGCCAGTCAGACGACAGCTCAGCTATTCTTACATGCGGGAATATCCACCTTGCTTCTGTTGGTAGCGCATGGCTGCATCCCGGGGCGCTGTTTAGAGCCGCACGGGACTGGACCGCTGCAGAGAGCGCCTGCTGATGCTGTTGTGGAAGTACCACGGTCTAATGCTGGCGCTTCGGATAGAAAGGTACTTGGGGAACAAAGATGATCCTTTTCCGGGCGTAAGCTTCACCGTCGCAGAGGCCTTGATGATTGGGTTGTCATTGTAGGCTGTTGCACTAAATATAGCGAGCGTTTACAAGACGGGGTTAATTGGACGGGATCGTCTCGCGAGTATCCCAAGCGCCCGCCCGCACGGTCCTCGGTGCATATGTGGATCCAGCACCACTCGCTATTCTTAACCTCGCGCTCACCAAAGTTTGTATGCCTGAAGCAGATAGATTGCGTACCCGCTGGAGAAGCCTACAGTTGGAAAAAAAGTATATACACGGAAATAACCACGATATACTGGCTTGTTTCCGCACCCTGCAAGTATTCCCCGCACGCCGTTATTTGCCCTTCCGCAAGGGTTCTTGTACTTACCTAAAGCCGTGCATCTAAATGCGTGTTTCTGAGGATATACTTGGACGAGTCAGCATGATGGACCAAATGATCTTGTGACAATGCAGCTCACTGGTTCTAATATGCATAGTCGCAAGTAACGTAGTCCTCGACTGTTGCATGGTGCGTCTCACGGATACTGTGCAGGAGACAACCCAGCGTCTACACTTAAGACTTGCAATGCGTACAGCATTTGGGACGGTTGACGGATTCATCCATTCGTCTCAGCCACTGGACTGCCCGCCACTATCACAATATCTCAGTTCCCCAGTGTCACTTTGCGCCCTTAATAATTGTTCAGATAATATGCGCGTGTATGGCACATGCGACTAAACTTGACATTAACATCCTTGTTCATCGTGCAATCTTGATGAGATTGTTTAGCCTCCCAACACACTGTTGATATTCCATTTCTTCCACAACGCGGGACCGCGGCTCGACTTTTGAAAAGCAGATACATCGCTTGCTAATGGCTCTGGAACACCCGAAACCTGAGCCTTGACCGTATACGCCACCACCCGCTATGTTAAACGACTATCCCCATAGGTCCCAAGTAGTTAACAAGATATGTTACTAACACACATGGAAAAGCAGCATACATGATAAGCGAAAGCCAAAGGGCTGACCGGAATGTGATGTTAACAACGCGACACTTTCAGGTGTTGACAAGCACCCATCTCTTCTCCTTCTCAGTGGGGCCTACCCTTGCAGCGACTACGCTCAAGGTATTGCTGATAGCATCCTTGGGCAACTTTGGAAACGCCTTCTTCAGCGCTTCGATCATACCAATCTTGGTCAAATCTTTACCTTCAATCTCGGCCTTGAAAGCCGGCAGCTGCTCAGTGGGTACCAGTCGTTTGGCTTTCGCAGGCTTAGTCGGAGTAGCTGCAGCAGATTTCTGCGGACCATTCAACGTGTTAAGCAAGCCGTTCATGGAGCGTTGAACCAGAGGCGCTCGAGGCGGGTTCATAGCGCTATTGGCAGAGCCGTCTTTCTTCGTAGCATTGGCAGTAGTAGAAGCTGTCGCAGGGTCTGGAGCCCAGTATGTCGTGGAGAACGGGTCAATTGAGCTCATTTGCGGGTCCAACAGGAAACCCATCCTGAAATCCTTGAAGTCGGTACATATGGCATCGGAACCATCGTTCAACCTGGACACTCGGTCTGCGTCCTCCCAGCACAAGCCGGTGCTCACAGGAACCAAATCACCACTAATGAGTCGTCGTTTGAGTTGTGGGTCTTCCTCATCATCGAGGAAACCGTCCATGTCGTCTTCCGCCTCGTCTTCGTTATCGTCCTCTCCGTCGGAGTCCAGATCTTCTCCTTCCTCAGGCTCCTCCCACTCCGCCTCAGAGTCGTAATCATAGTCAGTATCCTGCCGAACCCTGGCGAGAGGATTTCGTGCGAGCCGAGAAGCCTCCATATCGGTATATGGCCTGGTATATGTACCGTAATACGGCGGGCGTACATCCTTGCAAAAGTGAATGTACTTCATAGGAATGTCCTTGAGCAATTCCAACGGGCCTTTGTCTGCAGTCAGGTCAATGGGTTGATCTGATGAGCCATTTACACGCTCGATGACTTCCGCGATGGTCGCAGTCTTGCGGGTCCGCTGGTCTCGTCTTGGAAGAGAAGATACCAATGTCTCTCGTGTGATGGTCTCAGTACTAGTACTCTTCTGCGTGATAATGTTTTCTAGCCGTGTTCGGGCAGTCTCCAACCGTTCCGGGTCGTCTAGCAGGGGATTCGTGGACGCAAGGATTGTGTGCGGAGGAAGGTTGAATGGTAAGAAGTATCGCTCGTAGTCTGACTGTGCGTTCTTAACAATGGTCTTCTGTGGTGATAGAGGTGCCAAATTAGTATCGACTCCAGATGTGCTTGTTAAAGATACAGATGAAGCAGTGAGGTTCTGGGATGAAGCTACCACGGCCTGTCCTGGGCTGGTTCCCGCTTTTGGCTTCACGAAGAAAGCATTCAGCTTCATTTGAGACTGTTAATGAATTAGCACTGTTCAATTCGCGATTCAGACGTGACGTTTGACTTACCCGTGCCTTCTTTGCCTTTTCTTCTTCTATCCGTTGTTGTTCCTCTTCTTTAAGACGCTTCTTCTCATCCCGTTCTTCGTTCTTCTTTCGCTTCTCTTCATCCTTCTGTGCCTTCTGCTCTGCCTTCACCTTCTCCTCTGCCTCTTTTTGCGCTTTTTTCTCTTCTCGTGCCTTAGCCTTAGCCTCCTTCTCTAGACGTTGAGCTTCTTTCTCGTGTGTGGTAAGCTTCCGTCTCTTGGCCGGTTGTGAGGTGGTTGGGGCTGAAGCATTGCTGTTGTCTGGGGCGTTCGAATTTGGAGCACTGCTCTTGAGGGGTGACGGGGTTTGGACCGAAAGAACTGAAAGGGGTGAAGAGGCTTCTGAGTGAATCTGTTTAACTGGAGTTGAGATGGAAGGCTCAGTGTCGTCGTTCTCGTGTGGACGTTTCTGGGGCACCGGCGCAACGGGCGTGGGGTCCTCCATATTGTACGTTGGCTGCCGAGAGTATAGCCTGTAGGATTTTGCGAATCTATCAAGAATTGAACGTTCGAGAGCTGGCGCTCAATTGGCGGAGTTGTGTCAAGGTTGAACAAACGGAGTGGTTGCGGTAGTGGACGTTGATGCGGGAGGAGACGCGGAGGTGGAAAGCGCGACGCGCAGCGCGTGGAAGGCGCGTGCGGCCAGGGCTTTCGGGGGACTAGCGCGGGAAAGTGAGACTGGGGCCAACTATTCGAATGGCCATACTTTAGCGATTTCATGTTCTAATTTCCTCTTAGCGTTAGGGCGGAATGGCCACGAACATCAATACCCTGAGCACCGTTTCAACAGTAGACAATGCCCCAAATGATCAGGGCAGCTATGTCATCATAGATTTGGTGTGCAACCATGCGGAGCGGACCTGCCTTCTGTGGTTGTAGTCGCGCGTATCGTACTTGCCTTATGACGATACTCACATGCAAAACATGCGTTCTGTGAACGGCTTGCCCGTCCCAACACCACCATGCACTTCGCGTGCTTTGCCGAGTTCCAATAACTGGTAATCTGCGTTCTACTGATCAAAGAGGGTTTTTCAACTTAGGAGGCCGTTTCCCACCATTTCGCAGTCCCGCAATGGATACGAGCGATTTCGAGGACATGTTGTTTAGCGACTTTGACCTGCAAACCGCTCCTGATGATGCCTTGTCGGAGGACACTGATGATGAGCTACTGTTCGCTACTTCCAGAGAAGAGACTTTGCTGTGGGGTATATCGAACAGTTCAGACTCGACACTTCCAACCGCCAGTACTACCCTGGATTCTCAGGAGGAACGCCAGCACTATCAAACTAATCTTACCCAAAGACCGATACGCGACAGGTACATCAATCTCCGTAGCTGAACTGACTACAGCTGATCTTTGTGTAGACACTGGGTGATCGCTTGCATTGAAGCAATGCTAGAGACGATTGTGGACGCTCTGCTAGAAGAGCACGAAGCGCTCACTATCACTCTGAAGTCGCGCGCGGGCCTATCTCGCAGACGGACTGCTGTTACATCGGATGGTAGAGCGATGATTCCGGAACCCAAAGAACGGGATATTAACTTCCCTGGAGCAAGTGCGCAAGAGGCATGGAATTTCAGTGGGTACACACATGCACGTATGATCAGAAAGCACTGACACTTGCATAGCTGTGTTGCTTCGCATCCTGGAACTTATCCATTCTGGCCTTATCGCGGACACCATTATGACGAAGAGGTACATCTCATCTTTGTACACCGATGATACGATCTGACCCGATGCAGAGATATATATTACCGACATCCAGACCTCTTCATCAAACAGTCAGTCGTTGATCGATATGTCGATGACTTGGCTTGTACCTTCGACATCACCCGATCCCAATTGAATGTGGTACGCGAGGCTCTGTGGCATGAGCCGAAGCACAGCTAACACTCTATCTTAGACTGCTGCCGCAAAAGGCTTAATAGCTGGTAACTTCAGATTAATCCGACATGACGGTCATGTTGTGAACGGCATGAGCGAGGAGGTAAGACCGTTTAGTCGAGTTGTGACACATCGCTGATGATCTGGCAGGGTATCATCGTTCCCAATTTGAGTGCGAACGACAGTTTAGATCTGACAGAAGTACATTGGGTTCTTATCATCGAGAAAGAGGTATCACTGATGCTGCAAACTATCTTTTATTATCGCTGACGCATACCTAGGCCACTTTCAGATCCTTGAAGAGCTCACCACAGTGGCAGACGTTGGGTTCCAAAGGACTTGTATTGACTGTAAGCTTGATTGCTCTTTCTTGATATTTCCTTACCTAATATCCTTTACAGGCAAAGGGATATCCCGACATTGCCTCACGAAAATTGTTGAACCATATAGCGGAAGACGCCCCGCACATCCCCATATACGCTCTTGTGGATCTTGATCCTGACGGTATCGCCATCCTGTCGACGTACAAGTATGGCTCGTATCGCCTTGCTCATGAGGACGTCACACCCACTGATACGACTGCGCCGGGTTTGCCCAGCATCCGCTGGCTTGGTTTAAAGAGTCACCACATGAGCCGGACTCCGGTAGGCGAAGAGCACACAGACACCAGTGCAATCACTCAACTCCAAGGACTGATGCGACTGACAGCGCGCGACCGTACTAAAGCAGCACGAATGCTGGAGTGGAACTTATGCAGTGATGAAGGCCCCGAGCAAGGTTGGAGGCAGGAGCTGCAGACAATGCTGATGCTCAACATCAAGGCTGAGATGCAGATATTGGACGAAGCGCTCGGTGGGCTGGTGTCCTGGTTGAGCCACGAGCTTGGGCAGGCAAAGGAACTGGTGTGCGCACCGCTAGTGGACGAAGGAGCAGACGACAGGATGCTGTTCTGAGACTTACAATATCCGTGAGGAACATGGTGGCCTTCTATACGCAGTACCCACACGTGTCACCTTCTCTTTGTGATGAACAGGCGGACTACTGTCAGAAACAGTTCGGGCAGTCACAACCAATGTGACGCATCTTAGCCACAGCAAAACTGATATGGGCCTTTGAAGTGCGCAATTGAGGGCATGGCAATTGGAGTGCAACGCAGTTAACATGTCGGGGTGTGTGTGCGATAGTGTGACGACGGCCCAATGACGGCGGCCGGGTCGGTGGTAGGCCAAAATGTTTAGCCAAGCGTAGCCCGCGTCGGCCGCCAACGCATCCCTCTCGATCACGGCAGCTCACCCAACAACTCAGACGGCGTCGCATAGCGGCAATGCATTGACCTGCAGCTACAGAAGGCAGAATCCACAATGTCCGGCATGTCTAATGACCCGCGCGTTCCCTTCCAGGCGCCATGGGTCCCGCCCAGCTCTGCCCCTCGGACCAGCCATGAGCAACATGGCTCAGGTACCGCCGAGTCGAACTCAATCCCACAGCCATTGACGCCTACAGCGACGGCCAGACAGTCGGTACCCTTGGGCGTCTTCTCGACCCTCTTGGGCAACAACACCACGTCTACACTTAGTGCCCAGCCTATACTGTCGAGCGAACCTGTCCTCGCCCACACGCAACCACTAGATGCACCAGAAGGCACCTCTGACCTGACAGCGAGCTCGGGCTCAGTGCCCAGTGCAACCACTACCCTGACCAACACAATCCCACCGACCCAGTCTGCTGCATTGCGCGCTCTGAACGCACCTGCCTTCCACTCGTCGCCCTCTAAGAGCAAGTCGGCAAAGTCCACTTCTAGTCGAACAACTGTCACTAGCCAGCCCGTCGTAGTACGCACATACTCGGCATCGCGGCACGCTTCGCGCCCTGGCTCCGGCTTCAACACGCCACGCTCGTTTGCGATGAACGGTCAGAATCATGCTTCAGCCCTGTCGGCCGGTCTGGCAGGCAGGACCGAGCAACTACCCTCCGCTGACGAATTCTCCTTCTCGGCCATCCTTCGTGCCGTTGATCCTGAGATCAGAGATGCCATCGATGCCATAGCCGAGATCTGCGCCAGAAGCAGAATGAGTCTAGCTGACGAGTACGACTCTCATCTACCACCACAGGGAGAAATAACTGGTGGGGGTTCGGCATGGGCTACCAGCACAGGAGCCTTGGCGGGACGAGGTCGTCTAAATAGAATCAGTCAAGGGTGGACTGCTGCAGACAACACGCTTATGGCTGTGCCTGAAGCAAGCAGCTCCAGCGAAAGGTTGGCGCAAGATGGTAGGGCGGAGAGTAGTAAGAAACGTAGTCAGTCAGCATATGGCAGCCTGAAGAGTGTCATTAGTGGTGGTAGTGGGAAGAGAAAGGCCATAGATGGCGACACTTTCCGGGAGCAAGAGGCTGGCAGCTCGAAACAGCTTCAAACTCAAGACACAGGTCCGGCTTGGGCGGTTCAAGCCTCCACCTCTTCTTCGCATCCAGCCATCACCGTTGCCGCACCTACAGCATCGAAGCACCTTTCCCTAGATACTTCATCGGCGATGCAGGACATCGTCAGGGATACCGATGGATCGTTGAGTGCTCGGCCCCAGACTGCTACACCCCGAAGAACTCCTTCACACCAACGTGGGGCGTCTATGCGTAGTCTCCCAGCGTCACGAGCGCACTCTGGCGCCTTGGGCTCTATCAAATCTTGGCTGCCATGGCCCCGACCATCGCGTCTCGATCACAACAGCCGTTCAGAATTAGCAAAAGCCGAAGATCGACTAAGGGATATGTTGATATCTTCTTCCCAAACCCTCGGGAAAGGTAAAGGAACAGTCCGCGTCATTTGAGAGCTGCATCAGTTTCGCGTTACCAAAGCATTGAATGTTTCCTTCTGGACCTAATTGTTGCATGTCGCGGATACCCAAGAATGAGTTGAAAGTGTAAGAAAAGTGGAGTGGTGGACGTTTGTGCCTTGCCTAGGACCGACGAAGCCAAAGACGATATGACAGATACGATTAACACTTATGATTATGACTAATGATAGTAAAAGAATAGTTCGACAGCAATAGTACGGATAACAATACAAGTCTGCTTGCACTTCCCCATCCGATCTTTGCTGAACTCTGATAAGCCGACCTAGGAGCTCTAGGATATCTAACCTTTTCGAGTAACGAGTGTGTATTAAAACGTGGGGTAGCTCCTTAGCTCCAATCCACGTCCCCATCTTATTTGACATAATCAGGATCGCAAACACGATGACATGTCTACAAACTTACTCAAATTCTCAGTCTTTCCCACGTCAAAATGGACCCAATGACACCCAAAACGAGATCTGTACGAGTCGACAGCTTGATGAACTCATCGCCGATTCCAACGGTCCATAAAACTCTCACCCTACCTGACCTCTGCGATGACGTCTTACTACTTATATGCAATCTCCTCAAACACCACCACCACCAACAAACCCCTTGGAAACATCTTTCACTCACAAACCGCCGTCTCTACCATCTCTTGACCCCTCAACTTTTCAACACTATACGCATCACCGCCCCACTCAAAGCACTTGATCCAAACACTTTAAC